CGGCGTTGCTCTGAAGGACTGAAATCTCTCCTCGTGGTGTTTGCTTTCATTCTCTTTCTCTTTTGTGTTTTGTGTTTTCTTTCTTCCTTTCTTTTTTCTTTCTTTCTTTTCTTTATTTCCTTTTCTTTTTTTTCTTTTCTGTCTTTTCTTTCTTTCTTTTCTTTCTTTTTTCTTTTTGTCTTTTTTCTTCGCTTTTCTCCTTCGCTTTATTTTGGTTTTGTTCTTGTTCGTAGTCTTTATTTTGAAGGTTATTCTTCTAGTTCTTCCTTTTTTTCTTATTATTATTTTCTTCTTGTTCTTCTTTTTCTTTTCTTTCTTGTTTTCTTCTTTCTTCTTTTTTTTCTTTTTTCTTATCTTCTTTTCCTTTTCTTGTCTTCTTCTTCTTCTTAGATCTACTTCTTATAATTCTTCTTCTTTTTCTTCTTCCTTCATCTTTTTTTCCCTCCTTCTCCCCTCCTACCCCCTCTCTACCCCCCCTCCTCCTTCCCCCTTTTTTTCTCATCTTCCACACACCCGGCTACCCCCCCCCCCCCACCGCCCCCGCCGCGTGTCCTCCCCAAATGCCCTCGTTTCCCCTCACTCACAGGTCTCTGAGTATCATTTGTCAGGGCGAGTGGGTATGGGCGTGAGGGGTATGAGGCGTGGGTAGGGGGTATGGGTGGGGGTGGGGGCACTCAGGGGAGAGAGAGAGAGAGAGAGAGAGAGAGAGAGAGAGAGAGAGAGAGAGAGAGAGAGAGAGAGAGAGAGAGAGAGAGAGAGAGAGAGAGAGAGAGAGAGGCAGAGAGAGGCAGAGAGAACATAAAAGATAAGGAATAAAACAGCATGCAATCCTCAGACACAAACACTTACCCCCCCCCTCCTTCCACCCCCACTTCCCTCCTACTCCCCACCCCTTCCACCCCCACCCCATCTTACTCCCACCCCCTCCTCCCTCCTCTCCTACCCCCCCCCCTCTCGCCCCGGTTTTTATGACCCCAGATAATTCCGTTGCGCGCGAGACGAATAGGCCTACATTTCCCTGCGTCTGCGTTCACTCCGCGCGTCTTGCAAGTTGATGTTTGTCTTCTATCGCGTCTTGGACCTGGAAGTCATTTGCATATATATGAAGCGTTTGCGAGTGCGGATTACAAGCGGTTGGGCCGTCGCTCTCCGTGGGGGGGGCGTGGCTGCTTAATATTTTTGTGATACAAGGAAATACGGATGTTGTATTTTATTGTATTTTGAGGGTAGGGTGTGAATATGTATATATATATATATTTTTTTTGTTTTAAGAATTATTATTTCGTGTTTTAAAGCGTTTGTTTGGTTAGATTTTCGGAAGGAAGGGGATTTATTTTCTCGTTAGTTTATAATTGAACTTTCTCGTCGCATCGTATGTCTGGAAATCCTGTATTATGAAAGTCGAATGTGTTTTTTAATGTATCATCTCCCACCAACTTTATTTACGTTTTATATAAAGAAAAGATATTATTTTTTTCTTATCATTTCATCTTCCTCTATTCCGCGCGTAACAGTAGCTATGTACTACAACCAACATCGAATGGTATTTAGCACTGCAACATTGACTATTCAAGGCTACGTTGCAGACAAGAGACTTAGCTATTAGCCGACAGACAAGTGCGCTCTGTCAGCCTCTCTGTTTGTTTGCAAGTGCTTGACTGATTTCCAAGCAATCGGCAGTGTTATCAGCACTTAGCGAGTGAGTGATGGATACTTGGCCACAGCCGTCGTGCTTGTGTGTATATATAATACTTTTTAATGTATCAAGACATCCGGGATATGTAAATACGGGGGCACTTCAGTTTAATGTGGAATATATTCCGTCTATCGTTCGTAAACATATGTGTATATTTTTTGTTTTCCTCTGAGCATCTTTGATAACCCCAAGTTCATTGTGTGACCTTAGCCAAACCCACTTTATTGACCTTATTCAAACAGACCAACAATCCCAGTTATGTCTTTTTTTTAATTCACCACCTGGGTCAATAGACTGAAGAGGATCGCATATTTTTTTTCTCTCCCTTCAATCTTTTTTTTATTCTCTCTCTCTTCTCTTCTCCTCTCTTCTCTTCTCTTCTCTTTTCTTCTCTCTTTCTCTCTCTTCTCTTCTCTCTCTCCTTCTCTCTTTCTCTCTCTCCCCCCCCCTCTCTCTCTCTTCTCTCTCTCTCTCTCTCTCTCACCTCTCTCTCTCTCTCTCTCTCTCTTCTCTCTCTCTCTCTCTCTCTCCTCTCCTCCCTCTCCCTCTCCCTCCCCCCCTCCCTCCCCCCCTCCGCGTTGCCTAATCCCCCAAGTCCTATTACAAACGAGTCTTTAGGCCAAGAGGTATTAATAGCCAGGTCCTCTTGCTAGCTTCGGATTCATGAGCCCCGGGAACTCATGACACAATGGCGTTGATATGCGAACGCTGTATTCATTAACCGTTTATGTGGCTCGGACGCGGCGCCCCTGCTTCGGGTTAATGAATGTGCGACTTGTTGTATATTCCAATTTGAGATGGAGGTGTTTATTTGGGTCGGATGCGGCGGTAAACACGAGGGCGCTGGAGAGAGAGGGAGGGGGTAGAGGGGTGGGGAGGAGAGGATGGAGGGCGAGGGGGGAGAGGATGGAGGGCGAGGGGGGAGAGGGGGGGGGATTAAGTGCTGCGGCGGCGGAGGAGGCAAGTTACGACTCATTCATACTTATGGGTGGGGGGTGAGGGGGGAGGGGAGGGGGGAGGAAATGGCTATGCTTGCGCCTCCTTGCTACTACTAGTAGTCGAAGGAACTTGTTTATTTATTCGTGATTTCACATGCACGCGCGCACGACACAGATAGGCACAAATGAATTCGCGCCCACATACGTGCGGTCGGACGGACGCACAGACACACACACACACACATACACACACACACACACACACACACACACACACACACACACACACACACACACACACACAAACACACACACACACACATACACACACACATATATATCCTCACACCCAATCCCATCCCTCCCTCCCCTCCTCCCCCGTCCTCCCTCCCTTCTTCCCTCCCCCTCCCTCCCCTCTCCCTCCCTCCCTTCTTTCCTCCCCCCTCCCTGCCTCCCCTCTCCCTCCCTCCTCCTTCCCTCGTATTCGGCCAGCTCTAACGCCCTCTCATAATGTCGTTGCCGTTTTATCGCCCCGACGAAATCCTTTTAAGTGAGGGTCAGCCCGCGGAGGCAATGACGATGAGCTACCTTTAGTGTGCCATCAAGAATTCATCAGGAGGGGCTTCAGCAACGGCCCATATTCATCACTTAGCATCGCCGTGCCTGGTGGCGCTGCGGGTAATGCCAACTCAGGCGCGGTTATGGCCCACTTGCCCTCGCTCGGCGGAGGGATGAGGGGGGGGAGCGGGTGGGAGGGGGGCGAAGGAGAGGGCCTGGATGTTGCGGTAAGGGGAAGGGGAAAGGGGGAAAGAGGAGGGAAGGGAGAGGGGAAGCCGGTTGGATTTTGACACGGCGATTGTGGTGATTTTTCGTGTATTTCTCTCCCTCTCTTTCTCTCTCTCTCTCTTTCTCTCTCTCTCTCTTTCTCTCTCTCTCCCTCCCTCCCTCCCTCCTTCCCTTCCTCTGCCCTTCCTTCCTTCCTTCCCCCCTTCTTTCCTTCCCTCCCTCACTCCCTTCCCCCCTCACTCCCTTCCCTCCCTTCCCTCCTTCCCTGCCTTCCCTCCCCCCCTCCCATCCCTCCCTTCCCTCCTTCCCCCTCCCTCACTCCCTCCTCCCTTACCCCCTTACTCCCTCCCTCCCTCCCTCCCTTCCCTCCCTTCCCTCCTTCCTTCCCTCCCTCCCCCCTTCCTCCTTCTCTACTTACGCAAACATATATACTTCCATCCCACTTTTTTTTCCTCTCTTTCTCCTTCTTATTAACACAAGGTCCTTCCATCACTGTCGCATTCCCAGCCTCACCATCCGGGCCGAAGGGAAAGTGATACGCGCAGATTCCGTTGCAATGTTGCAGGATGTGTTTGAGGGAGCCAGGAATGTGGGGGCATCGGAGAGTCAAGGGCCATGGGATTAGCAACAGGAATGTGCAATGACCGAGGGCACGGAGAGGACACGGAAGTGAGGATTTTAAGGAAGAGGGAAGGAGGGAGGGAAGGAGGGAGGGAGGGAGGGAGGGAGGGAGGAAGGACGGGGGAGGAAGGAGAGGGAGGGGGGAGGAAGGACGGGGGAGGAGAGGAGAGGAGGGAGGGAGAGGGGGAGGAAAGAGACGGACGGACAGACAGACAGACAGACGGACAGACAGACAGACAAACAGACATATTAATAGATAAATAAACAGGAAGAGAGACAGACAGACAAACAGACGGACAGACAGAAAGACAAACAGACAGTCAAACCGATAAAACAGACAGACCCATAGAAGGAGAAAGAGAAGTTCTCAGGCACAGCCTCTTGGGGATTAAGAACGCCGAGGGGGTCAGAGTGCCAGTGCCAGTGAGGTCGAGCGTGGGAGAAGCGGGGGGGGGGGGGGGGTATTGAGAGGGTAGGAGGTCACGCTCTTTAGGAAAGGGGGGAGGGGTTGTGGTGAGAAAGAGGGAGGGGTAATGCATGATTTATGAGGGTCATGTGCGTCTTAGTGTCAGAGAGAGGGAGAGAGAAAGAGAGAGAGAGAGAGAGAGAGAGAGAGAGAGAGAGAGAGAGAGAAAGAAAGCGAAACAGACGAAACAGAAGATACACACAAGTAGATGTTTATATAGACAGATACGTGTAATAAGGCAGCAATCTTATGAATACATATGTTTATGAGTAAAAAGAAACATTAACAATCTTTACCCATACCCATATTGCTATCCTTAACCATCACCATCACCATCATCTTCTTCTTTTTCTCTTCTTCTTCTTTTTCTCTTCTTCTTCTCCTTCATCTTCTCTTTCTTCTTCTTCTTTTTCTTCTTCTTCTTCATCTTATTTTTCTTCCCTTTTTATTAAGGACCCCATACCCGAACCCCCATAAACCCCCCCAAAAAAAAAAATCCTCGCCATTCTAACGCCTTTTTTTTCTTTTCTCTCCCTCCTACAGCGCCTGCAGTTGACATGTCGATGACGTATTCCAAGCCCAACGAGGAGAGTGTGATCATCTCGTGTCGCGCGGGAGGCATCTTCCCCGCGCCGGACATCACCATCTCCAGGAGCTCTGCAACGTCCAGGTAAGGCCGGTGGGGATGCTGGTGGGGAGAGGCCGGAGGGGGAAGAGAGGGGAAGAAAGAGGGAGAGGGAGGAAGAGAGAGGAAGAGGGAGGAAGAGGGAGGAAGAGAGAGAGGAAGAGAGAGAGGAAGAGAGAGGAAGAGATAGGAAGAGGGAGGAAGAGAGAGGAAGAGAGAGAGAGAGAGAGAGAGAGAGAGAGAGAGAGAGAGAGAGAGAGAGAGAGAGAGAGAGAGAGAGAGAGAGAGAGGGGGGGGGGGAGAGGAAGAGAGGGGGGGGAAAGGGAGGAAGAGAAGGGAAGAGAGAGGGAGAGAGAAGAAGAGAGAGAGAGAGAGAGAGAGAGAGAGAGAGAGAGAGAGAGAGAGAGAGGGGGGGGGGGGGGAGGAAGAGAGGGGGGGGGAAAGGGAGGAAGAGAAGGGAAGAGAGAGAGAGAGAGAGAGAGAGAGAGAGAGAGAGAGAGAGAGAGAGAGAGAGAGAGAGAGAGAGAGAGGAGAGAGGAAGAAGGGGAAATGAAGAGAGGGGTTGCGGGAGGGAGAGAGGAAAAGTGGATAGGATGGAAAGAATGAAAGAGAGAAAGAGGAAAGAAGAGACGAGGAGGGAAGGGCTTGGTTACAGGAGAAGAGGGAGGAGGAGGAGGAGGAGGAGGAGGAGGAGGAGAAGTAGGAGGAGGAGGAGAGAGGGAGGGAGGGGAGAATAAAGATGAAATATTGGAGTTGGGGAGTAGGAAAAGGAGGATGTAGTGATGGTGATAAAGAGGGAGGGGGAGAGAGAAAAGAGGAGGAGGAGGAGGAGGACGAGGGGGAGGGAGAAGTGGATAGGGAGAAGAAAGAGGAGTATGAGATGGCGGGGGAGAAGAAGGAGAAGGAAGGAGGAGGGGGGGGGGGAGAACGAGGAGGCGAGGAGGTCGAGAAGGAAATAAAAAGGAGAAAAAAGTGAGAAGAAAAAACACATAAGAAGAAAGATGAGAAGGGAGAGAACCGGGAATAGGATATGAAACACACACACACTCACATACATACATGCATGTGTGTGCGTGTGTGTGTGTGTGTATGTATGTGTGTGTGTGTGTGTGTATATGTGTATGTGTATGTGTAAGTGTGTGTATGTATGTGTGTGTGTGTATGTGTATGTGTATGTGTATGTGTGTATGTGTGTGCGTGGGCATAGCATTTAATATGTAAAGATTCATCCAGATACACTATATACCACTTAAAAATACACCCAAATACCACATATACCATGTAAAGATACACCCCGTCAGAACATTTAACATTCACATATAAAGTATTTAAAACACGGATATCCTGTCCAAATGCGCCATGCATATACAAGGCAACGAACAGAGTCATATCCAAACAAAGCGTTTACCATCCTTCCTAAGATTAAACCTTGAAAATAATGTACAAAAGAGGATAGGCTTGCGAACCTTTTACAGGGGGGGGGGGGGTCAAAGTTCAGGTCAGTGAGATTAAGTGCAATATGTTCATCTTTTTTTTTTTCACTGGCGTTGTTGTTGTTGTTTGCCTGAAAGCTCAGTCGTAACGCTTTTTAGTTAATCCTGTGCTTTGTAGAGATGTTATGTTGTTGGAAAGCAAGTGTTGGGAAGAGGATGCAGTTTGGGATTTTAGTGATGACTGTATTTTAAATTGTGTGTGGTTTTGTGTTTGTTTTCATGCGTGTGTGTGTGTGTGTGAGAGAGAGACAGGGGGGGGGGGAGAGAGAGAGAGAGAGAGAGAGAGAGAGAGAGAGAGAGAGAGAGAGAGAGAGAGAGAGAGAGAGAGAGAGAGAGAGAGAGCGTGATGCTTACAATGATGATAACAATGATAATAATGTCATAATAATGATGTTGAGGATGATGATACTAATGAAGATGATAATAATAAGCATTTGACAACAAACAAATATATATAACATTAACCAAATACAAACACATACACACAAAAAAAATCAACACCCATCTAATCACTTCATTTCTCTCCCGCACTCCCTTCCCTTCCCCCCTACCCCCTTCCCCTTCCCCTTCCCTTCCCCCCCATTCCCTTTTTTCTCCCTACCCTCTCCCTTCCCCCCTACCCCTTCCCTACCCCCTACCCCCTTTCCCTTTCCCTTTCCCTTTTCTCCCCCCTTACCCCCCCCCCCCCCCCCACAGAAACCTGATCGAGGACGCCAAGGTAGAAACCAAATTCCTGCCCGAACAGAGATCGTACAACGTCAGCATCGACCTCGAAGTGTTAGACTACGAACTGGACTCGGAGACGATGTTCGAGTGCGTCGTCACCATCCCCGGGACGGAGTACGAAGTGCGAGAGGAAATCCTTTATTTTCCCG